CCCCCCCTCAAAAAATCCCCAGATTCCGCCCCCATGTTTTTGAAGTTTTTATGTTTTTTTTTTTTGCAAGGGGGTAGGGGAGCCCCCCCCGACTCGAAACCCACTCCCCGCTCCTAAAATCCCCTCCCCGATCGGCCACGGCCGCGGCCAAAAGTTCTCGGCCGGAGCGGCCACGGCCGGGGGGGTCCCGGATACAGCCGGCGGCCACGGCCACAACCGAACTCGGCTGTGGCCAGTGGGGAACATAGTATACCGAGATTACAGGCAGAGGTTACACAGACATGACAGGCAGAGGTTGCATAGACATTACGGGCAGTGGTTACACAGGGCCTGGCGCCACGTCATCGAGGTTACACAGTGCGAGAGATTACAGGCAGAGGTTATGCAAACGCTCTGATGGTCCAGCGTCGTCGAGGCGCCAGACGATCGGAGTGCCCGGCTTCACCAGACCCTCCTCCTTCCTTCTTCCTTTCTTCCTCTTCCTCTTCTTCTCCGGATACTGCACGAGAGATTACAGGCATAGGTTACACAGGGACTGCCGCCTCGTCGTCGAGGTTGCACAGTGACACAGATTACAGACAGAGGTCACACCGAGATCACAGGCAGAGGTTATACCGAGATTACAGGCAGAGGTTACACAGACATGACAGGCAGAGGTTGCACAGACATTACGGGCAGTGGTTACACAGGGCCTGGCGCCAGGTCGTCGAGGTTACACAATGCGAGAGATTACAGGTCGAGGTTATGCAGACACTTCGATGGTCCGGTGTCGTCGAGTTTGCAGTCTGGGCGCTGAGCGCTAGGTGGGGGATCATGAGTTCCGGCGAAGGAGGATGAGGGGGAGGGAGAGAGAAGGAAGAGGAGGAAGACTAGGAGGAAAGGACCGAGGCCGACGAGGAGGAGGAGAGGAGGAGGAGGAGGGAGGAGGGAGGAGGAGGAGGGAGGAGGACTAGGAGGAGAGGGAGGAGGAGGAGTAGGGGAGGAGGACGGATGAGGTGGACAGAGTCGTCGAAGGCCATTCTGTGCCAGCGCTTGCCATAGGCAGAGGTATGACCCCAAACCATCTCCCGTTCCCCTTTTTGATTGATTCATTGACCTTTTTTTTTAGTTTTTTTAATCAAACACAAATGAATGTGTCGAATCAAAGAATCGGTTCGATTGGGTCTTGATTTCAAAATCATGATCCAATGGAATCGATTGATTGATTGATTGATTGATTGATTGATTGATTGATTGATGGATTGATTGATTGATCCATTGATTGTTCGTTTGATGTCTGGACTATCTGAGGTCAAATGTATGATGCGATCTTTTTTTTTTTTTTTTTTTAATTGATTGATTCATTGATTGATTGATTGATTGGTTGATCGATTGATTGATTGATTGATTGATTGATTGATTGATTGATTGATTGATTGATTGATTGATCGACTCAGAATCTCCAATCGAATCAATCGAATCGATCAGATCTTGAAATGAAGATCCAATCAAATCGAATGATTCGACTGCATACCTCTGTTTTCGTGATTTTTTTTTTTCTCGATCGATTTATTGATTGTTCGATTAAATGATTGAATGGTTGTTTCATTATGGAAAAAAAAAGAAAGGGGGGGTGCGCCATATGACCGACATCTGCGCGAAGTGGGGCCGACATTTGGCCTCGACGACGTTCGATTGGCGTCATCGGCTGCTCTTACGTGGCATGGATAGGAGCTGTCATTTCAAATCTGGCCCCAAACCGACAGGTGGGGGAGTGTGAGTTTCGGTGAAGGAGGGGAATGAGGAAAGGATGGAGGGTGGAGGTTGACAGGGAGAGAGTAGTAGGAGGAGGAGGAGGAAGAGGAGGAGGAGGAAGAGGAGGAGGAGGAGGAGGAGGAGGAGGAGGAGGAGGAGGAGGAGGAAGAGGAAGAGGAAAGGGCCGAGCGGGGATGGCATTCGCACTTTGGGGAAGCTGCTGACGTCACCGGCAGCTCTTACGTATCGTCTATTAAGATCTGCTATTTGCAGTCTGGGCGCTGAGCGCTAGGTGGGGGATCACGAGTTTCGACGAAGGAGGATGAGGAGGAGGGAGAGATAAGGAAGAGGAGAACGACTAGGAGGAAAGGGTCGAGGCCGGCAAGTAGGAGGTGGAGGAGGAGGAGGAGGGAAGGAGGAGGGAGGAGGACCAGGAGGAGAGGGAGGAGAAGGAGGAGTAGGGGAGGACGAGGGATGAGGTGGACAGAGTCGCCGATGCAGCAAAAGGGGGTCAGGGGATGAGGGTGCAGATTGAGAGGACGAGGAGACAGGCAGTCCGACGATATTTTTTTTGTTTAATCAATCAATCAATCAATCAATCAAACAATCAAACAATCAACGGAAAAAAAAACATCCATTCCAATGGATCGGATTGGATTTTGATTTCGATTTAATGGATTCGATCGGATCGATCGGATCTTGATATCAAGATCCAATCGAATCAATCGATTCGATTGGATCTTGAAATCAAGATCCAATCGATTGGATACTTCTGTTTTCGGTTTTTTTTTTTTATTATTGATTGATTGATTGATTGATTGATTGATTGATTGATTGATTGATTGACTGATTGATTGATTGATTTATTGTTTGATTAATTGATTGATTGATTGATTGATTGATTAATTGATTGTTTGGTTGGTTCGAGGTCACGACTATCTGCGGTCATATGTATTGATTGATTGATTGACGCAGAGTCTCCAATCGAGTCAATCGATTCGATCGGATTTTGAAATGAAGATCCAGTCGAATCGGCTGGACACTGCTATCTTCCTTTTTTTTTTTTTTTTTTTTTTATAGAAAGATTAATTGATTGATAATTAAAAAAAAAAAAAAAAAAAAAAAAAAAAAAAAAAAAAAAAAGCGGGTCTGTCATCTGACTGAGATGTGCTCGCAATTGGGGAAGCTGCTGACGCCAGCGGCTGCTCGTACGTAGTGTAGATAGGATTTTCCATTTGAAGTCTGGGCGTTAAGCGCCAGGTGGAGGACCACGATTTCCGGTGGAGGATGAGGAGGAGGTCGGCAGGGAGAGAGGAGGAGGCGACAGAGGGGGTCAGGGATGAGGGCGCCGACCGAGAGAAGGAAAGGGCCGAGGAGGAGGAGGAGGAGGAGGACGAGGGGAGGAGGAGAAAGGAGGACGAGGAGGAGAGGGAGGAGAAGGAGTAGGAGAGGGAGATCGAATGGTTGATTGTATGATGCGGGGAATTGATTAGCGGGTCATTGACGGCGATTAAGACACCCTTTCGACGAGCTGATTGTGAAAGCCAGGAGTGGGGAGAATCACGATTCTCCCCACACTTCTTTTCTTAGAGAGAACTGGTATAACACATTGATTCGCACTTTGTTCAGTGACACAATGTATTGTCCCTTGTTTGGCGTTGTGAAAGGCGGAGTGTTCACGAAGACGAAGCGTCGATGAAGGCTACTCCATAACGCCACCCGCCCAGCAACAGACATCGAGACATATCCGTTTCAGGACACCACCACGACAGTTCACCGCAACAACACCCAATGAGGGCGGAGTCCGGCCTCCTGTCCGTGGAGATGGGATTGAAAGGTATGGCACACAATCCATGGCTCGTTGCACGGCAAGACCTGGCTCAATGCATAACCATCCCGGACCATTGCACGGTAGGACCCGCCTCAGTGAAGGACCATTGTACGGTAGGACCCGCCTCACTGCAAGACCATGCTGGACCATTGCACAGTAGGACCATGTCGTGACATGGTCCTGCATTCACGAGAGGGTTGGGCCATGCCGTTACATGGTCCGGGGTCCGGGGTCCCGGAGCCACCAGACCATACCGGGGAATGCTCGACGAGAGAGTTGGGCGACCCGACTGTGGCGCACGGGCGCAATGGCGTAACATATTTTCTACGTTCCTCACAAACATGCTTACAACAGTGTATGTGTTGTATAGAGAAGCTGCTTCACGTGATCCTTCAACCGGTAGGATGGATACCGGCGACATCAAACGTCATCGACGATTGGACGAGAACACGAAATTGAGGATTGTCGAGGCACTTCGAGACGATCCATGGTTGAGCGTGCTGCCATGGCGAGGAAGAGTTGGGAACTAGAGCGAGATCGATTGGGATATTGCAATGATACAATGTCCATGGGCGCACGACTTCAGATTCGCTAACGAGATGGAATGGGGACGATGCATCAAAATATGTGATGCCTCCCTTCAAACAGCGTATATACCGAACTATGAGAACATTCACTGGATGTACGACCACTAGGATACTTATAACCCTCTTGTATCTATTACAAGCCAAGAGTCGGACAACGAGTGTTGCGAGGAGGACGGAGCAATCTCATGCAAGTTCGTAACAACATCACCTCGCACATGGCCGAAGCGATTCGGAATCGAGTTGCAAAGGTGTGGAAGATTGTGCAACAGAATCACAAATTATCCCATGCGGAACGAAGCGGGGACAACCAGTTAGTGCATATCTTATTGCTCTGTGAGGATTTTCTTAAACAATGCCGATTTATGTAGAGTAAATTGTGTAGCATGCACAGGCAAGAGTGAGAAATCAATAGAGGCAAGATGCGAAGCAATGTGGACTGGGGAGGAATGCAACAATTCAGTATTTAAAGTGAAAGAGTCGGTGGATGAAATAGAGGATAAGATATGCACCATAAGAGATGCTATCGGCATCGCTCTCGCTGGTACACACAGTTTCGTGAAGATGTCGTATATATCGTCATTCGATAGGGACGACGATGACAAACCTCAGAGTTTGAAAACGCTCACATTCGGCTCACCCCTGCACGGTTTGTATAGTTATGAAGGCAGACGTGTTCCACGCATTGTATGAGAATAACAAATTTTTGTGTTGTAGATGGTTAGATGGTTTGGCATAGATAGACATGTATCATCACTGAGAGCTGATAATGGAGAAAATGTATGTAGGGTTATTCGTCAGACTTAATGTATGACATTAGGAATTGTGAAATGTATTTCGATAAGCGACGGAGGTGACACGTTGAACGTTCGTTTGTTCCGTTCGTGTATGTGTGATGTGTAGGGTGTATAATGTCGTCGATAATGTCGACAAGCATCAATGGGAGTCCCGAGAGGCACATGCGTTTAGCAAAACCGTTTCCTCCTTGTGCAAAATCCGTGCGTCATTATAACGGTCACAGGTGGCTCCACGAAGCAACCACTGAGGACTTCGAAGAGGACCCGTGGATGACCGTCGTCCCGTACACGACCCCACATCTCGACGAATGGGACGATGGTATTTGGAACGCTATGGAGATTGCACGCCCTTGGACAAACAATTATAAGTTTGCCAATATCTTGGAGTTTGGGGGTCTCATTCCAATGTCTGATGGTGTCTTGAAGCCCAAGTTCCTTACCCGTATGCGTGAATCATTCCGCTTCGCTAGCTGTCTGACCAGTCGCCTCGACTGCGAGTACATCACTTCTTCACCACGAACTTGGGGAAGTTCACAGAAACAAGAGTTGGTGGATTGCGCTCGTCATTGTTCATTCTTGGAACAGCACCCACTCCGTTGCCCAGGGATTTTTCGTCAAGCTGTGTCATACTGTTGTGTGCGGTTGACTATTACCGGATGTGCTATCGCTAGAGTGCTATGTGTGGCTTGTTCAAACAAAAGTAGGAAACTCGTTGATGCAGTTGTGCGTGTATCACGGAACAAGTTGTATATGGACAGGTCCAAGTTTATGTTTGTGTCGTATCGCCGCGGTCCAAATGGTCGGTCAGATACAATGATAGCAGGTCAGGTCAAAGATTATTCATTGTGGCATGAGGTGGAAGAGAAAGTGTCCGACATATGAGACAGTATAGGAAATTCATTAGCACGGCCAGGAGGATTTCTTATGATGAAATACATGTCCGTATTTTCGGAGAACGCAACAGTTGAGGAACCGCAGATCCATGTATATGGATCATCTATGAATGTCATGTATGACTTTGGTTCACGACCTCGTTCGCGGAACAGACCATATATCACCAGATCCGTACGAGTTGTCGGACCTTGTGCTGAAGGGATAAGCATAGAGCGAAGAGCGTAAGTTAGCCTAGCTGACCAATACATCGAAAGGGTATACACAACAATCGATGCACTGTCATCGCTGACACGGCTTTATTAAGTGCGAACAATGGACTTTTATGAGGGGAAGAAAGCAAAGATAAAGAACGAGAGAGTGCAAGTGGTCCAGGATGGTTATGCATTAAGCCGGGTCCTACCGTGCAATTGAACGCTCCAGCATCCTGACCTTACGTTGCATTGGCACAACCCTTTGTTGCCGCAGGGACGGGAGGGTTCGTTCGCGAGGACGGGAGGGTTGCATTCGGCTCATCGATGAATGCGTTGTATGACTTTGGCTCCTCGCGGGGTGCCGCTTTGCGGTAGTGTCCACTTGAATCCTGGAACATTGTCAAACACTTCCATAGTCAGATTATTTTCAACCGTGGTGGGAAGCAATGTGGTGTCGGGGTACAGGACATACCTCAACAGCCATTTCGTCAAAACGGACATATTATATTTTTTGAATGAAATCAAAACTGACTTTTTTTGCCAAAATTCGGTCGGAATTTTTTGCTCCTGGGGGTCCGGCGTTCCCAAAACGCCGAACCCCCTGCATGTATCTGGTCTATGGTTGAGACCAGATTAAATATATTAATCTGGTCTCAACCATAGACTAGATACATGCAGGGGGTCCGGCGTTTTGGGAACGCCGGACCCCCAGGAGCAAAAAATTCCGACCGGATTTTGGCAAAAAAAGTCAATTTTGATTTCGTTCAAAAAATATAATATGTCTGTTTTGACGAAATGGCTGTTCATTTTGCAGTGTGTACTACGTAGGTGGGTCCGTGTGGTATGCCCCAGTACCTATCTATTGCAGTCGCGCCTTTCGTGTCCTCTTATGTTTGTTTGTTTTTTTGTCCTCCGGGACAGCCATGTTATGTACATGCCAAGGACAAAGGTAGGGTTATGATATGGTGGAAATCGAGAAGGCGGACTGGTGTGAAGGTTGGAGGATCGCTGGTAGTCAAATAAAACAGCGGTGTGGTGTACAAAACTGGGACGCTGGACCCAGTTTTCAGCTGGTGTCACTCCTCACCATTAGTTTGGAGCCATCTCCATCGGGGTTCCTATTCGTAGGGGTTGCTCCTATCTCCTCCACGACTACGGGCGGTTGAGATGTTTTGCGGGAAAAAAGTAATAAAAAATAAAAAATAAAAAAATCATCGTCAATTTTCGTAATTGCTGCTCTCTCAGCAGACCCCTTCTCAAAAGTTGTGCTGATAATGCGATGATCGCCTTGCAGACCGTTATGTTTATTTGTATGGGACATAGGCCCCCTTTCTCGGCTTCTGTTATAACACTCCCCTGCTGCGTATGTACGTGGTTTTTTTTTTCCAGTATTTCATTTCCCCCCCCCAAAAAAAAAGAGAAAAAGGGGAAACAAAAATGTAACAACATATTGGGAAAGTCCTCACGATGCTTATTAAAACTAGCAAAAATAAAGAACGTATATTTCATAGTTTCTGTCGGAGCATCCAATGGTCAGCTGCCTCACGGGTTCCGGACCATGGGATGGTCCGACGCCTCGGGGGGCTCCGGACTATGGGAGCCACGGAGGCGCCGAGGAGCAAGAATCCATGGGATGGTCGGGCACCTCGAGGAAGCCGGAGCATCCAATGGTCCGGTGTCCCTAGGGGCTCCCCACCACGGGGATGGAATGGCGCCCCGGGGTCCGGTGGGCCCAGGGGCTCCCCACCGCGGCGTCCCCAGATCGTACGGCCCCTCGGTGGCTCCGGAACAGGGAAGAGTCCGGCATCAACGAGTTGGCCCGCCGTGACGGGGATGACCATAACATCCAATGGTCTGGCGCCTCGGGGGCTCCACTCCATAGGATGGTCCGGTGCCCCTGGGACGCCTAAACATCCAATGAATTGGCGCCTCGGGGGCTCCATGCCATGGGATAGTCCGGCGCCCCAGGGACACCGAAACATCCAATGGTCTAGCGCGTCTAGGGCTCCAGGCCACAACGTCCCCAGGATGGTAGGGCGGCCCGGTGGCTCCGGAACAGGGAAGAGTCTGGACCATGAGTTGGCCTGGCGCGACGGGAACGGCCAGAACATCCAATGGTCTGACGCCTAGGTGGCTCAAAACCATGGGATGGTCCGGCGCCCCGGGGACGCCGGAGCATAGCATGGCCCGGCGCCTCGGGGGCTCCAGACCATGGGATGGTCCGCCGCCCCGTGGATGTTGCACCATCCAATGGTCTGGCGCCTCGGGGACGCCAGACCATACCATGGGATGGTCTGCCACCCAGGGGATGCCGGACCATACCATGGTCCGGCGCGTCGGGGGCTCCAGACCATGGGATGCAGACCAAGGGATGGTGCAGCGCCCCGGGGACACCGGAACATCCCATGGTCCGGCGCCTCGGGGGCACCATGCAATGGGATGGTCCGGCGCCCCGGGGACGCCGGACCATACCATGGTCCGGCGCCTCCGGGGCTCCAGACCATGGGATCGTGCGGCGGCCCGGGGACACCGAAACGTCAAATGGTCCAGTGCCACGGGGGCTCCTGGCCACATCGTCCCCGGGATGGTACGGCGCCCCGGGGACGCCGAAGCATCCAACGGTCCGGCGCCGCGGGGGCTCCTGGCCATGGGATGGTCCGGCGCCCCGGGGATGCCGTACCATACCATGATCCGGCACCTCGGGACGAGAAGCGCATGCGTTGAAGGCCGGGAAACCCGCGTCGCTGCCTGCCGCTCGTATGGTTTGCCGCTCTCCACCTTTATTATTCCTGGTGGCGAGCAAGGGAGCGAGAAGAGCTGCAACGACCAATTGCAGCACCGACATCCTCTACCCCCGCTGCCAAGTGTACAAGTGCGTTAAGCTCGGCATACCATAAGACCTTGGTGACGTGATGAGGATCAATTTTTTTTCTGTGGTCGGCGTGTTCGAAGGTCCCCGCTCTGAGAAACCATGCACACGTCGAACGTCTACAGTGAGAAGGGGAGCTGCCCACATCCGCCATAGTCATCCAATGCATACCAAGGAACTATGTCGCCTCAACAACCCCTCTCCAGCTCTGAGAGCAGGTCCCCTTCATTAGGGAAGCTTCGCCGGAACCACAACTCCTCGCCACGTTCAATTCGTGCTCCTAAGAAGAGAAAAACAGTAGTTCAATATGAGAATCACTCGTCCCACACTGTAGTCCTAAGGTTGAGAATGGAGGATTTAATTAAGGCAATCAAGCATGACGGATCCGCTCCTCCTCCATGTCAGGCATCAACAAAGTGTCTGCCGCCTCCAGACATCCGCTGAGAGGAAGACTCATCCGTTCGCTGCAATTCGGATGAGGACAGCGGTGGAAACGACGCATCTTTTCCACCGGATGGACCTTCCGATGAGAGCGAAGACCACACGACACAACAATGTTTCAGTGAGCTACCATCCTTTGTGGTGGAGATGGGGTCGGGCACGGGGAAGAGGAAATACACGTACGTGAAGCGAAAGCGAAGAAGCGAGATATCTGATGCAGATTTGCTGGAGAAATGCACCATGGAAGAATGCACAGCCGTGCTTCAAAAAAATGCAGTGTTGTTCTAAAATGACAGCGGAAGAGGTGTATAAGGCAAAAATGAAATATAGATCGCTGAGCCCCGAAGAAAGCAGGACGTAATGGATGAGACAACTAGATAGTTTTACTTGCATCGAAGATGAAAAGAAGGTGGTCAAACCTGTTGTGGAAAAACACAGAGTTTGTATTGCGTTCTATCATGATTTACATGAGAACGGTACGGTGTTGCCGATTCATGGAAGAAAAACTCACTCCACCACATCAGCAGTTCATGCAATGACTTTCCAGACATTCCAGACTTTGATCATGGAGGAGGCCGATGCAATGTGTGACCAGACAGATGTGAACAAGGACTATGAAGTTAGGCTGCGCATCAGATTGCCTCCAACGTACGCTACCAAAACAGACGTGTATGAAAGCATCAAAAGACGGTTGTAGAAACAAGACATAGACTGCTGCTCTTCGCAAGTATTTGGAAAGATGTGGCGTGATTTCTTCTGGCATGTTCATCTGGCACGGTCAACCCGACTATGCTAGATGCAATTACTGCACAAAACAAACAGACCTTATCGAAGGTGCCATGCCAGACATCAGATGAGGTCTCGTTGCAAAACTCAATCACCATAGGTCATTGCAGAAAGCATATCGTGAATTATATCAAATATGGTCTGCAAAGTCAAAGTTCATGAGGAACAAAGTTTGTATATTTTAATTGATGGGATGAACGAAGCAAAAACGGTGATTCCTCACACTGCTCTCAACAAGACATCAAAGGCGATGGACAATCGCACAATGACGAAAACAACTTGAAACCTCACCGATATTCTGGCACATGGAAGGAATCCGCACATTATCGTTCACACATGGTTTCCTATTTTCTCGCACGGCGTTGACTCGATCGTGTCATCAGTCGCAAAGGTGTTAAGAGACATACAGAGACAACCAGGAGGGTTGCCTCCAGTTCTCAGACTCAAAGATGATAACTATGGGGGCAGAATTAGAACAAATATGTATTTGCGTTCCTGGCACTGTTGGTGAAATTTCGTATTTTTGAAGTAGTAGAAATTGGATTTATGGTAGTGGGTCACACATATACTGACATCGATGTGAGGTTTAGCTTGTTCTCTAGGAAGCTAGCAGGTTCGGACGCCTACACGATGGAAGAATTATTCACAACACTTAGAATTTCTACGAAGGAACAGGTAGACTGCACATTTGTAAATGAGATGGCCGATCGGAAAAATGTTGTGAGAGGTTTTTTGGACAAACGTATTGGTGGACATTCCACCCCTCACCTCTTCAAGTTTTATATTGACGGTGACAACCCTGCAATGGTGTACAAAGAGTATTGCCCCAGTAATGAGTGGTTGCCTGAAGACGAACCCATTTACTGGTTCAAAAGAGATGAGCAGGGGAGATGGGCGGAACCTACCATGCCCTTGTCGATGAATGGAAGGAGGAGCGACCGGAATGAGAGACACAAGAACAGTGGAAACGAGAGTTGAAAGAAAGTCGGCTACAATATTGGGAATGTCAATTACAAATATTCAAAAATATGGAACAATGCAAACATGATGAGTCTGTTGCATTGTCGACCGCTTTCTGGCCATCACCGATGCTAGACACCGCCGAAGATACGAGATTGATTCCAACTGTAGAATCTTCACCAAGGAAACCTTGCTTCCTAGGGTTTAAGAGCGATGCCCCCAAACCAGAATTTGACCCACCCAAATATGTCGATGTGGGCTATTTTGTTGTGTTACAGGCACCGGACGAAAACGTCGAAATCGGAGTGACTTTTTGGATAGAGCGTGTGATTGAAAAATCAAAGGAGTCGGATCAGATTTTTGTTCAATATTGGAGGCCACAAGGCAAAGACACCAATGTGTCCAAGTTATGTGAAAACGCTTGGAACAAAAGTTGGCGAGTCGATAAAGAGTCATCACCTGGGTGGCAAAACATTACCAGTGTGACATGAGGATGGAAGAGCGGAAAAAGATCTGAAATCGCCCTTAGAATCCGGAAGAGTGATGCATTCAAGGCAATGAAATCATTGGCGGCAGTTCACCATGCACATTCTAACGCGACAGTGAATGTTGTTTGATGTAACATTCGAACATGAAATAAGCATCAGTCATCATCGATACAAATGTTGCCACCTCGTAATCTGATGGTTTTGTAGGGGCAATCCGATGACAGACGTAACTAACTTTCGTTCGTGTTATATTATATCCACTGCAACCACAAAATTGGATACTTCGAGTATGGACGCCGAGGTCAACATGCGCCGTCACAGTGACAAATGGGGAATACCTATACATTACACGTAGCTTATTTCATTTCGGCACATGCAACGAATGGCAGCGGTTGGGCTCCGCACGCTTGACGAGACCATTATATACCCCACTTTTGACTTATGACCTCCGCAAATGCAACGCGAGATGTCAAAGATAGCTCAAACATACCACCCGTTGTCAAATTATTAAAGAACCGGGGCACAGCGATGGAAGAATGTTTTCTACGAAGGCGGTTGGATATTTGACAACGAAACACGAAAATGTGGTCAAATACAATGCATTGCGTTTGAAGCACGACATGGAATGACGTATTGTTGCACAAGGATCGATCGTCGAAAGCCTCATCAAAACGATGACGTGGATGATATAGCATGTACTGTATCTGGGAATGCCCAACTTTTCTGTAGCGTTATTAGAGATGTCATGATAGAGTTCGTGCGAGATAGAACATCCGTCATTGGGACAATTGCTGTGAAGGTGCTTCAAACGTTCGACGATTATGGAGCAACTAAATACATCAAGAAAAGGAAGACAAAAACAATTACAGACGTGAAGCACATGTTTCGACGTATGAATGAGATTCCCCGACGTGTATCGTGTAGGGTGACGATTGATGTTATACCAAATGTGGAGCACGGTAGGTTGAAATTATGTGAAGTATGATTGGACAATGAAGAAAAAAAATATGAAGTTATATAGTATACGAGAACGTGAGTGTGAAGCACGTGTAAGGTAGCAATTGATCACTGACTGATCGAAGGGCCATGGCAAGGAAATGGTGGGGAATCAAGGAGATTGTATCAATTGATCAATGACCGATCGACGCACGTAGTCATTATTCGTATGTAGGGATATGAAAACCTGTGTTTATTTGTAGGAGGTAACGATTACAGATAGGCAAGAGATGGTGGGAGAAAAACAATTGCACATTGTGTTGGGTAGGACGAAGTTATGTGAAGTAGGATTGAACAATGAAGGGAAAAAAAATGAATTTATATAGCGTACGAGAACGTGAGGTGTGGAGCACGTGTAAGGTAGCAATTGATCAATGACTGATCGAATTGCCATGGTGAGGAAATGGTGGGAAATCAAAGAAATGGTAGCAATTGATCAATGACCGGTAGACGCACGTAACCATTATTCGTATGTAGGGATATGAAAACTTGTGTTTATTTGTAGGAGGCAACGATTACAGGTAGGCAAGAGCTGGTTAGAAAAAGACAATTGCGCATTGTGCTGGACACGTTTGTAGTGGTATGAGTGACGGGATCATATAAAATGTGACATACGTGCTTAAGTACAATGTCTGTGGTCAAAGTGTGCAGTTTGTCATCACATATAGTATATGTTGTGGTTACAATAATTGAATGACACGGGATACTGAATAAGATTATGGACAAAATATGTCGTGCAGTAGTGCAAAAAACAATAGAATAATCAATGGATATGAGAAATGGCAGTGAAATATTAAAGTATCATGCATATAAACGAAACATGCAAGTAAATATAAAAAGTAAAAAACATATAATTTGGTTATACATACAATCATGTTTGTGGTCATGCAGAACGTGCAGGATTGTGAAACAAGCGATAATTATTTTTTTAACCGGGAGATACAAGAGGTGTTGCGGGGGCAATGGTGACTGTTATCAATCAAGCGGTACCAAAAGCATTAAAAACAATCACGAACGGCGGAGCATTTCCATATGAATACATGTCGATGGTCAAATGTGAAGTAGAAGAAGTAAAATTACTAGTGGTTGTCGTGAGATTTACAGAGGTTGATGTATATGACATGCGAATTTATGAACGATAAGGAACGGTGACAAAGCAGTCGGACTACAATGAGTGTTATAAGAGAGTTGTGAAAATTCATGAGGGTAAAAAAATG